CGAAATAATTGGCATGTGCAGATTAAGAGGTCTAGTTATACCTGTCGGAAACTTACTTGCTGAATATCATTAGTTTTCAGAATTTCAGCATTAAGTAGGGTCGGTGCACTATCATATTACTGGAAGCATAGTGCTATAGAGTATGAATGAAATGGAGCGTATCTTAATTTTAGTTAATGGTTTACTGCTTGACAGGAAATCTGTACACTTTACACTTTGAACTTTAACATATATTGGGTTCAAATTCCAGTTAAAAAGTGTTGGTGTCTATTGGAATCATTCCAGCCCACCTGAACCGTTTCAACTAGATTATGCAAAAACAGCCTATGTGATCAAGGAATGTGTTAGACCACTAGAGTTCTCTCCCCTGATACAAGGCATGTTAAAACGATTTGAAGTAAAATGTATTTTCAAGCTAAAAGTTTAAAGATATTCATCTCAGGACTATTATCCACAGGATTACACCTATTAAGAGCATTTTATTTCTTAGGTACAAATGAAATACAATGACACCTGTGTTATCATTTAAACATTTTGAAAATGTAGTTTGTTCTTAATTAATCTCACACAGTTGAATGAGAAACTTGTAACACTTAGTAGTAAGAAATCTCCTATACTTGGAGAACACATATACAGTCTCTTACAACTTCATCTGTTTCTGAACATCCTGAAGGATAACCAGGAAATCAGTTACAATGGGACATGATGCCAGCTTTAGAATAGGTGTCTACAAAGTCCTGTCACTTTAAATAAACTGCATTAAATGATGAAGTGAAATTTCACAGCTTAATGACAAACATAAAGCAAACTTAATCATACTCTATAAATGTACTAATTTTGGCGCAATCAAATTTTAGTGTATCATCACCCTTTGGCAAATATTTTTCAACATACATTTGTACAGGGACTGAAATTTGCACAAACTGTACTTTCAGCAAGAAAAGCTAAAAAATAAGAATACTGCTATAAGTAACGCTTATAGGTTAATAGTAAATCAGTCCCTGTGTCCCCATCTCTATATCAGCACTATCAGTCCCTGTGTCCCCATCTCTATATCAGCACTATCAGTCCCTGTGTCCTCATCTCTATATCAGCACTATCAGTCCCTGTGTCCCCATCTCTATATCAGCACTATCAGTCCCTGTGTCCTCATCTCTATATCAGCACTATCAGTTCCTGTGTTCCCATCTCTATATCAGCACTATCAGTCCCTGTGTCCCCATCTCTATATCAGCACTATCAGTCCCTGTGTCCTCATCTCTATATCAGCACTACCAGTTCCTGTGTTCCCATCTCTATATCAGCACTATCAGTCCCTTTGTCCCCATCTCTATATCAGCACTATCAGTCCCTTTGTCCCCATCTGTATATCGGCACTATCAGTCCCTGTGTCCCCATCTCTATATCAGCACTATCAGTCCCTGTGTCCCTATCTCTATATCAGCACTATCAGTCCCTGTGTCCTCATCTCTATATCATCACTATCAGTCCTTGTGTCCTCATCTCTATATCGGCACTATCAGTTCCTGTGTTCCCATCTCTATATCAGCACTATCAGTCCCTGTGTCCTCATCTCTATATCATCACTATCAGTCCTTGTGTCCTCATCTCTATATCAGCACTATCAGTCCCTGTGTCCCCATCTCTATATCAGCACTATCAGTCCCTGTGTCCCCATCTCAATATCAGCACTATCAGTTCCTGTGTCCCCATCTCTATATCAGCACTATCAGTTCCTGTGTTCCCATCTCTATATCAGCACTATCAGTCCCTTTGTCCCCATCTCTATATCAGCACTACCAGTCCCTGTGTCCCCATCTCTATATCAGCACTATCAGTCCCTGTGTCCCCATCTCTATATCAGCACTATCAGTCCCTGTATCCCCATCTCTATATCAGCACTATCAGTCCCTTTGTCCCCATCTCTATATCAGCACTATCAGTTCCTGTGTTCCCATCTCTATATCGGCACTATCAGTCCCAGTGTCCCCATCTCTATATAAGCACTATCAGTTCCTGTGTCCCCATCTCTATATCAGCACTATCAGTTCCTGTGTTCCCATCTCTATATCGGCACTATCAGTCCCAGTGTCCCCATCTCTATATAAGCACTATCAGTTCCTGTGTCCCCATCTCTATATCAGCACTATCAGTTCCTGTGTTCCCATCTCTATATCGGCACTATCAGTCCCTTTGTCCCCATCTCTATATCAGCACTATCAGTTCCTGTGTCCTCATCTCTATATCAGCACTATCAGTCCCTGTGTCCCCATCTCTATATCAGCACTATCAGTCCCTTTGTCCCCATCTCTATATCGGCACTATCAGTTCCTGTGTCCTCATCTCTATATCATCACTATCAGTCCTTGTGTCCTCATCTCTATATCAGCACTATCAGTCCCTGTGTCCCCATCTCTATATCAGCACTATCAGTCCCTTTGTCCCCATCTCTATATCAGCACTATCAGTTCCTGTGTCCTCATCTCTATATCATCACTATCAGTCCTTGTGTCCTCATCTCTATATCAGCACTATCAGTCCCTGTGTCCCCATCTCTATATCAGCACTATCAGTCCCTTTGTCCCCATCTCTATATCAGCACTATCAGTCCCTGTGTCCCCATCTCTATATCAGCACTATCAGTCCCTGTGTCCCTATCTCTATATCAGCACTATCAGTCCCTGTGTCCCCATCTCAATATCAGCACTATCAGTCCCTTTGTCCCCATCTCTATATCAGCACTATCAGTCCCTGTGTCCCCATCTCTATATCAGCACTATCAGTCCCTGTGTCCTCATCTCTATATCAGCACTATCAGTCCCTGTGTCCCTATCTTTTTTCAATAGTGTTAGTCCTTGTGTTCTCATCTCTGTTTTGACACTTTCAGTCCCCAAATCTATGTAGCCTATGCTTATTTACCATATATCTCTCTATAACACTGGCTTCTACTGTTTTCCATTCACCACTTTCCACACGCTCACTCTCCACGAACTCTTGTTCTGAGTTTTATAATATCTGTATTTCACTTCAATTCCTTATCTCCAATTACCCAACAAAACTTTCAACAAATGGAAGACTCATTTAAGTCCCAGTTTGCAAGGTTTCAAAAAAAAAAGTATTTATAACAACAAAATTTCAAACAAATATTGTTGAAAATGCTTAAAATCATAAACATAAAAAAGCTATATCTGCAGTCATTAGAATAATACTGAGGCATGGCCAAACATCAGCCATAATAAACACAATAAGTAAGTCAAAATGAAAAAGCAAAATAAGTATTCGCAAACAACAAGCCAGAGAAGATAACAGCAAAATAAAAACAAAACAGGCCTGTCAAGATAACAAAAACCCTATATAAGCATTATATATAATGATTCAAAAATTTCGTACGATAGTAAAAACAAACATAGTTAATTAAAATGAGACTTTTTGTTTTCATTAGTCGATCCTTATCCTCATTAGATAGTTGCAGAACAAATCAAGAATTACCTCCCTTTCCAGAAGTTTTGGATTATCCCCCATTAATGCAATAAATCTAGCTGGGTCACTGGAATCATCTATCTCTTCCAGACTTTAATTATCTCCCCTTACTTCAATAAGTTTGACTGGGTTAATGGAATCCATTATTTCTTCCCAAGTATTTGATTATCTCCCCTTAGAAATTGCTTCTTTCTCAATGGGTTACCTCCCCTTCACTTCAATGCTTTTGGTTTGTTCATGCTGAGTGGATTCAGTAATTGACAAGTGAGGTACTTCTCTGAGTTTTAACTGCTTTCAAAATTATAATTGGAGTTTCAAATCATACATTTTATCATGTTGTTTTGTTTCTAAAACAACAACATTTACCAAGAAATTACTTTAAGTTTACAAGGAAGGTGGATGTTACAATAGGAAAATAAATACCTGTATTTTACTGCTGTGTTAGAGGATCTTTCTATCTAGCTGTCCTTACTTCACAGTTATTATCACAGACAAGTACATATCATTTAAGCAATCTATGCTAACAGGGGTCACAAGTGACAGGTCACTAGCCTAGATACAAGGCGACACTCATTGTCCTAACAACTTTCTGTTTCTATATACATGTATACTGTGAGTAAATAGATCTTATCAGACGAAAAAAAATCCTAGAGTCTGTAACCTGACTTACTGTACAAACATAAATTTTTGTGGGGGATTCATTTTCATTGATTTTGTCAGTACACTTAATAGACAAGTTTATGAGTCAATGAACTGCTAACATTAGTGTAATTAGATTTAGTTTGCTCATCCAAGTAATCAAGTATCCATGAAATACTGATTTTTTGAAAAACCACGAAAATTGAGCTCCACAAAAATATATGATTTTACACTAAACTAGAAGTCTCACACTCACTATTTCATCAATCAAAGAAGCTGATCTAAGTCGAGATGAAGATGTGAACATCTTTCCAAGTATTGCTGAAATGAATTTCTCCATCTTGATCTTTCCTTGATTCAGAAAATAATATCTATAATTCCAACAACATTTTAAAATATATCTCATGTGATTTATCAAACTCTGTGGTAAAAACGATATTAATTCAACAACCAGATATAAACAACACACATTTATGACATAAAATGACTTATATAATGAACAAGGCTCCAGGATCATAAAAAAAAAATCTCTGAGGTTTTCAATTTCAAAATTGGATAAGATACTTGATCTCTTTGAAAATCCATCAGGAAGCGATGAAATTATCAGGATTTAGAATATGTACATGTGTCAGCTTGTAATTTCATACACACAGAAATGAGAAAAATATAAACATTAACATCTGGACTGTTTAAATTTGCTTGTGATCCCGGAGTCATGTCTCCTCAAATTGTGCGTATCGACAATATCACAAGGAACACATGAGGATGACCATCAGTTGTCATGGAAACAGGACCAAGGCGACAGTAAATATCGTAAGAGGCAAATGATCTGATCACAAGGACGATCACAGGATTCATCACAAGTTCATAACGACACACGCCATAACAACTTTACGCAAAACTTTTTCATCAGAGATTTCACTAGAGTTTGACAATCATTAAACATCACTATAAATCCTAGAATACGTATTTACTAACATTCAGTCTGACTAGCTGAGCAGATCAGAAGAAATCACAATCACTTGTGTACAAACATCCACCAGGAATTTCAAGCGTCCCTATATACTTATGAATCCAGCTTGGCTTGAAACATTTGGCATTAATTTTTATAAGGCTACGCTAAAACAGACGCCTTTTTGTATACAGACAAGCCAAATCACAGAACAATGAGGACAAATTTGAGTATCATTCTTTGTCGCAATAATGAGGGATGAAAGCAAAAAGATAACCCACTGGAGCTCTCTAGGAGTTGCTGACTTGAATGGAGTCAATGTCTTTTGCTGACATTTATAAGAATAGAACAATTTGAGTATTGAAACATTTTATCAGAATGATAGCGGGAAGCATAAACGTAAATGATCTCCCCTTTCAGCAGTTTTCACATAGGGAAGTCGTAATTGTCCTCCTCCACCAACATCTTGCTGCGCCGACAGAAACAGAAACAGGAGCCCTTGCACTGCTGCCAGCGTGAAAACTGTGCCTTCTGTTGGATATGAAGACTGGGCGTCTTCTGTCCGATCAACTGGTCATATCGGTCCTTCTCCTTAATATACCTTCAATAGATATCATAACAAGTAATATGGATAAAGGCAAAGCCATTTGGTGAGAGCGTGGTATTAGTAGGTAAGTATTTCATTTGGCAACAATAATAACTTTACATTAAGTTTAAGGAACACTTCCTTCCTTGAATATTGTTTTTATTGGTGAGCAAATTCTATTTCTGTGTCATAACTTCCTGACTGAGAGTATGAGTGAAAATTTTCACTTTTTTTTTCTTCTCACATGTCATCTTTAGGGCTTGCTGCCCCTGTTGGGGCCTCTCGAGCTTTGCTTGCTATAATGTCCTCTAGCACATCCATGTTTTACATATAATGATGTCAGGAAAATCTTAATCCAAGGCCAAGTTTTGATTTAAATAAAATTTGTACAATAATCCAATGCAGTCATAAGCCTATGGACACCAAAATAAGGTGTTTGTTTACACCACTGAGTTCATATTGCGTAAACTCACCAAACAGGAGGCCACTGATTTTCTTCAATCCATGTAAGGTTTTCCTTCTGAAGTCCACGTAGCTCTCGAAAAAATCTTTTGCTAGCTTCACGGTAGTGGATGCACACATAATGCTGACACCAGGCTGCTAACTGGAGGGCATTGTGGAACTGTGGGTAGAAATTGTCCAATCAGATTTTAGAACCATGCCATGCAAATCTATAGACAAGAAGAATCGATTAGCTCTCTCTAGTGAAAATTTATATTGTACAGTCACAGTTTAACAAATAATTAGTAATTCTTTTATACTGCTTTTTATTTTCCTGTGACAAAAATCATGAAAAAAAATTCATATACAATTGTATTTCAGTCACACTTGTCTGTAAAGGCCATAGAAGAGAAAAAACAGCTGGACTGTATATAAAGGTAAATGTACTATGAATTGTGTTACATCAGAACGAAGAACAACTTTACAGGTGGACTTCATACACAAGTATTTGGTGTATACAGGTGACCTTGAGAGACAGAAATTTGTTACATACTGGTAGTCTTTATGGACAGGTATTTCTTATAGACTAGTGACTTTACAGAAAGTTGTTTTTATATACAGATGGTCTTTACAGGCAGTTGTTTGTTATATACAGGTGACCTTTACAGGCAGTTGTTTTTATATACAGATGGTCTTTACAGGCAGTTGTTTGTTATATACAGGTGACCTTTACAGGCAGTTGTTTTTATATACAGGTGGTCTTTACAGGCAGTTGTTTGTTATATACAGGTGACCTTTACAGGCAGTTGTTTGTTATATACAGGTGGTCTTTACAGACAGTTGTTTGTTATATACAGGTGACCTTTACAGGCAGTTGTTTGATATATACAGGAGGTATTTACAGACAGTTGTTCGTTATATACAGGTGACCTTTACAGACAGTTGTTTGATATATACAGGAGGTATTTACAGACAGTTGTTTGTTATATACAGGTGACCTTTACAGACAGTTGTTTGTTATATACAGGAGGTATTTATTGACAGGTTTTTGTTATTTAAAGCTTTACATTTTTTTTACAATCACATATGTTAATTGATTTTATGCGACAATTACCATTCTCTCTTATGCTGGAGTTTAGAATTACAATTTTGTTTCTGAATTCAATCAACTTCCAGTTGTTATTTCAAAGTTGCAACAACAGCAACTAGCCTGTTTGGTTTATAGAACTAACTAGTCAATTGTAAAATTGTACCTATAATCTATTACAATCTATAAAGAGTTTCGGTTGATTGTTCTCGATTTTCAGTTTACCTGTGCTGGCTCAATCAACATGAGCACTTCCTCCAGAATATCCTCATCACATTGTGCTGCCTGACTTAGTTCCGCAACAACATAATCCTCCACTATGGAGATAAGTCTTGGTAAACAGAAACGGTTTGCAACAGCAATGAGAGCCAACTGATCAACAGATTCTAAACTCTGAATTCTGTCTGTGTATAAGTACTCTTGTAAGACACCAAATACTTCTGACGTCACATCTGGTAATGGAATCTATAAATAGAAAGGGAATTCATAGTCTCAAAATAGATTAATGGTATTCTCCAAATCCCTGAATAACTCTATCTTTGTACTGTCTTTCAGGGTAATTTTTTTCTTGCTAAATCATACATTTGTACAGGGACAGACCGAAATTGAGATTTCATAGTGTTAACAAGAGAGAAAAAACTGAACAACCATACAGAGACTTAATCCCATGACCTCCAAACTCTAAATAGGCAGTATTCTGACCTGTCAACTGAGCTACTCAATTTCCTTGGTTACATGGTCTATATAATAACTGAAGAAAAGATATGAGAAACATCAAAACAGAGCCCTACAGGAGGTCTGTGTTCAAATACCATTTAGTATTTTAAAGCCAACAAAGAAGTTGAAGGCCTAGGGTTTATGGTTTGGTCTTAAGGCGTACTGATTTGAATGTTTAAGAGTTTGCATGTTTTAAGTTTAGAGGGAATGGGTGTCTGAGGAGAGATTTGTAACGAACCACGTGAGCCGAGGCTTCCAAGAAGTTGTCAGTAAACATGGCACACATCATCTCACAGCGTGCGATGAGCAGAGGCTTGTGGGCTGCCACTACACCATCATCAACCTCAAACTGGATATCTGCAAACATAATAATTCAACTAAGGATGAAATTTGAAGAACATTTCAGACCTGACATGAGTTTCTGATTTAATAAATAGCCTGACATCCATTGATCCAACCCCCCCTCCCCCACTCTCCCCCTCCCCCCTCCCACCCCTTTAACCTCCATTAAGAATTAGACTTTCCTAAAGATGCCTATAAAATTGTGACATTCACTTACAGGAGACATTGTAAAAAATCTTACTTTACTTAAAGAATCCTAAAAAAAGGTGAAATCCCCTTACAGGACCCCTATCTATGAGAAAGCAAGTTACCCTTTAGGAGTCCCTGCCTGAGTATCAACTCCTGAAGTTTGTCGATTCGGTCTGTGAAGAAACGTTTCTCCAGTCCCAGGTTGAGAAAAGATTCCTGTGTCTGAACATTAGATAGTGCCACCAGCATCGGGAACAACTTCAGGAGTTCCGCAGCTTGTTGTACTTCAAACAGTTGGTTATACTCGTCCCGTACCCGTCCAGTGTAGAGGTACTCCAGAATACACCGAAAAGCATGAGGAGTGATTTCCTGTGTAACCGTGACAACAGTCCGAACTGCACTGCCTCCTGTTGGACTCTTACAGTGAAATGTTTCGATTTTTTCAAACGCTGCATGATTCAAATACCTCATACTTATGGTGTCCCATCCATCATATTGTATAACGCGATCCTTGGGGCAGTTTGAATTTCCATCAATAACAGGAGATTCCTCCAGAATAACTTCGTTATCCAAAAGCACTTGTTCATCCTCTTTGTTATTTTTTTTCTCTGTCCGTCCATTTGTTTGCGGAACATTTTTTCCCTCTTCTTCTTTGACATCCATCAAAAGAATTTCTCGAAACATGTCGGAAGCAACTACCAAACAGATCTTGTGTACCCGGAAACATACATCCCGGACATTGAAGATCACATCACCGTCATTTTGATTTTTCAATAACTGTGCAAGATCATGGTCAAATGTTGAGGTTGCCACGCTGACTGCAGGAAAAGATGGTTGAGGTACTGGCAGAGGGGCCTGGATCAAAGGATACTGTATTCGTCGCAACTGTGTGTTCCAAAACTTTATTTTACGTCTCTCAACCATTGCTGCTCTCACTGCATTAAAGAACACATCTTCGATTCCGTAATTAAAAAGGATGCTTGTCTCATAGTATGGTGCCCCGATGGCTCGTGCCACCTCACGGCCTTGTTCTGGGGTGATGATGTCACATTTATTTATGGCCCTGAAAACATAAACATCTTTATAGTAACCATGAAAAAAAAATACCCGTTAAGAACCGTTAATTATCCAATTAGCCAAGCCTTTCATGCTTGTTAAGTCAGGTACATGTGTGAATTTGTTTACATAAGGTAATTAAATATGTAAGGGTCATGATGATTGTGGTTTCCTAATTATCAATGGATCAAACCACAACTGTTTCATCGCGGTAACCAGTAATCAATTAATCTTTCTTTAGAAATTGTTTTTTTTTTAAATCTGACCCCAAAAAAGTACCTGCGCACTATACCCACAAATTTACGGTACCATTATATTTAAAAACATTTACTAAAATAATTGAAAATGGAACCTTCAGAGTCACAGTGATGTGCCATAAGTCTTTCACATTTGTCAATTTGCTATATATTCTTTGTATTTCTAACCTTTTTTTATGAATTTTTCTGACTTCGTTCATGGATCATATCAAATGTAAGTTAATACACTTCTTGAGAATTCATGGAAAAAGACACTTGGCTTTAAAGACTGCCGGAACACTTTGTTTTATTTTCTTTGTAAACATTTCTTTTATTCAGACTTTGCCCCAGTTTGACAAAATTTGAGTTTGGATTATGATTATGTTGACATGTTGGTATTTTCTCGATATTTATCTATATTCTTGTACAAAGCACTACTACTTCTAGACTTTAAAACGAAAGAAATGTTCAAAGATAAAATGTTGAAAAAGCAACAGAAGATATTTCATGGACAATCCTGCTATAAGAAAGCAAGAGTACAAATGATATGGTGATGATAATTCTATGATAAACATATTCCTGTGTGAATGTCTTACTTGTACAACAGTCCTTTCTCCATACACCGATAGCGTTGTTCTTTGTACAAGAAACGCATATCTGCATGTGTTCCCGCGACGACAACTGGCGTCGTCGAGCACTCATTCTTTATTTCTGTCTGCCATTTTGATAGTACATTGCGTAGGGAGCTTGGCTTGACAACACTAAATACTAGTAGAACAACATCGGCCCTGAAATCAAATAAATTGTTGATATCATACGACACATTTAACATTTGTTTGGAAGTAGTCACTTCATACCATATGACTAAACAATAACAACTTTATCTCACTTAGCTAGATTTTGTCACTTTTTCTTCACATTTATGGTTACCGGATGATAATATACAGAAAAAGTTCATTTGCAAAGAAGAGCACGTTATGACTTGACACTTGTAGTGTCACAATTTTTTGTTAGAGATGATTCAGTCCTATTCATCAAGAGGTTGCAACTAAAATTTGACTGCAGACAGAATAAAAATGTTTAAAAGCGACATTACACCTTTTACAAAGTGCAAAAGTTTAATATGAAGATTTTCTTTTTTTCAGAAGGAAGTCTTAATTGTATTCCTGTTAAAGAATACGTTTGACATGAGACAAGGCATGTGAAATATTTGACATTGATACAACGGCCGGTCATTACAAGCTATACAGTTCAGTAGAATATACAGACTAACTACAGTGCATTGCTACCATCTTGTGGATGTTTTGGTCTATAAACTGTTTACCATCTCGTCACACTATTTTTGACCTTAGTGCACATAGGATTAGAGTACAGACAAAAAAATCTGGTTGATTGCGTACCATCTCGCACAATACGTACATCAGTGCTAGTACGCTCCACACTGGTCATTTGTCTGATGACGTTGACAGTGTAGTCATCAAAACATCACATTATAGTCTTCTACTGGTTGTGTTACAAGAAACTTTTTATCAGACTACTTACCCTTTATAAGCAAATCCTCTATCTTTGTCATGGTAACCAAAAGTATCCCACAATCGTAAGGAGACTCGACAATCGTCGACGTGACACCACGATCTATCCAGAATCTGTGGGGAATAACAAATATGGAGACTAAACTTTCCTATGTATATAATTTATTTGTAATACCTACATCTGCACTACAGAAACAGGTTTATGGAAATTGAATGTAGAACTCTTCAGTTTGGAGGTATTTTTTTATAAATCCATCCATTTTACTAGAAAATAATTTCTTTTGTAGAAGTAAAAGTAAACAAATTAAGTTACTGATCAATGAACCAAAACCAACTCACCTCCTTGTCATTTCTGTAGTGGTCAGTTGCCCATACGGTGGACACATGGGTCTTAACCAGCTGTTCTAATCTGTACTTGGTGTCACAGGCCCAGGCACGCACCAAACATGTCTTGCCAACACCCGAGTCACCAACAACAACGCATTTGATGTACTCATACTGACTGCTCCCAGTACTAATGTCAATTGGTGCCTTATTCACCATTACTGTAGAGGGCGCTAGCAGAAATGGGATATACAATGTCTGCTTGGGTTACATGCATATCTGCAAAAATATAAACAAAAACATTCCATTTCTAAAATAATTTTGAAACATTTTTAAGTTGTACATACCATACATACGTATCACAATAATCAATTTTTTTTATTTCCCTTTAAAGTTTGAACAAAACTTTTATCTGAAAAAAAAGAGAAAAAAAAACCTAAAGAGTCTCGGAGTTAAAAGAGCAGTTTAGATCTATTTCAACTTCATATGAAGATTCAAAGAGTGCAGGTTTGATCCCTGCTTGGGTTTGTACAACTTCTTTGTGTCAAGTGACGGCTGTATCCTTGGAAATAACACTTCTAAACCTCAACAGCTTTGGATGTGATGGGTTTCCCATATAATGATAAGGTCTCTACCACAAAATGTGTCTGGTTGTTGATAGTCATTAACTCTGGCCAAATGAAACAAAAACTTATTAGCACTCCCTTTTCTTCAAATCCGATCATTTCATGATTTGAACAAAGTTATGGTCATTGGAGTGACATTCCAGAGACCTGCCCCGACAACATACTGGTCCAAATGGACATAGACTTACCACAGACTGGGATCACTTTTGTCATACATCCAACACAGGTAACGCAACTGTAACTTACCACAATATTGTTTGCTTGTTGGAATGGGAAAAATATCAAATTCTTAACTATTAACTCACTGAATATATAAAAGTCACACAAATCAAATTATTACAAAAATAATTGTGAACTTCTTATTGCTTGCTGTAATCCCTGCAAGTGCATCACATGTCCTTCTGGTCAAAGTTCAGTCAGCCAATCTAAACATTTCAAAAGTTTATTCTGCGTGTGGTATAGTGCAGTATTTGTTTATACAACAGTTGTTGCGATTAATTAATACCTTTTTAGGATCTAAATAACGCACACCTCTTGTGGTTAAAAATATTTCGTAATCTGAGACTCACATATATCTAGAATCCAATGGAACAATATTTACATTTATCTTTTTAAAATTATTTTCATTAATTCATCATCATTTTCCTTTTTGCATCATATTTTCCACCACAAATTTCATTTTACAAGTTCCTAATTCTGGTGAAATGTCAGTTGTCAAGGTAAGATGCCCTGAGAGTAATAAAACTTGGTTACAATGAATAATCAGTTTTAACTAAGCACCACCTCCATGTAACATATTTCAGAGACACCATTAATTAATTCATCAGGTCTTTAGCTCTAGGACGCATGTGTGGCCTTCACATGGCTTCCATGTAAACAAATAGCTGGCTGATTTAAAGGTGCATACCAATCAACAATTAGGTCTTATTATCATACATTGTACATAATACCTGTGATACATAAAATACAGAAATTTTTAGTCCTCACTGCAACAAGACCAGAGGGTGGACACCATAAAATTCAGGAGTGACCTTGTAGCTAGAATAAGAAATAGCGTAGTTCATTATTTTTCCAGCCATTGAATTTGTTCATAAATACTTTTGTGTATATGTAACTTGTGTAATGAACATTGTACATAGTGTGTCTCATTGGTTGTTCCACATAAAAACTGATCGTGATATTTCATAATATGGACAAAGTTTCCTCATGAAATGAGAATTGTGCAATAAACCGGCTGCCTCTATTTGAATTTGTTTTCTGTATTTTTACTTGAAACATTTTCTGAGTTCATACGTTTCTTGATTTTAAAAATTTGCTAAGTTACAATGGTCAAAAGTATCTTAAATTTGTTTTTATTACACAGCAAACTTTCAATTTTGGCTTGTCAAGGTTCACAAAAAATCATAAACTTTAAACTTCTTCATAAGAACTCATCATATGGAATGAAAACTCATTTAAGGTCCTATATGAAGGGGGATTATTATAAGACAAGGGTTTAATGTGAGGTAAATAACCAGTGCATTATAATACAACCCAGTGGCATTGATGTTATTGCATTCACAAACACATGAATGCCATGCTATTCATGAACATATGAAATTTTGTTTTGAAAGATGATCATAGAGTCACTTTGCAGCTAAGATATATAAATATAAACAAGAGGCCAACAGGGCCTGTATTTGCTCACCTGACTTTGCTTGGCTGAAATTGCTTTATTAAAACTACCTGAAAATTAATTTTAACCATCCAAACAAACAACACAAAACATATATATTTTCCCATTGGACCCCAACTCCCTAGGGAGTTAGCCAAACCAATCATGCTATCAGCCCAAATCATTCCTACAGGTGAAATAGGATTTTAAAGAATTTGCCCTATTTTCAATATTGGAGCACCATCCCTCCTACCCCAGGGGGCCGAGGACCATCATTAAGAGAAAAATGATTCCCTTTAATTCACCCAACAATGCCTTAGACAGAATTTGAACAAAATCCAATCTTTCCTACAGGAGGAGGATTTCAAATCACTTGCTCTATTTCCACTATTAGACCCTGCTCCTCCTGCCCCAAAAGGCAGAGACTTACCATTTATATGAAATTGATTCCCCTTCCTCCAACAAAGCTACATACCAAATTTGGGCAAAATCCAATTATTTCTATAGGATTTTTAAAAGATTTGCTCTATTTCCCCTAATTTGCACCACTCCTCTAATCCCAGGAGGCCAAGACCCACCATTTATACAACCTGATTCCCTTTTTCCCAACAATGCTTCACCAAATTTGGCAAAAGTTCAATCATTCCTATAGGAGACTTTAAAGAATTTTTTCTAGTTTCCATTTTGAGTCCTGCCCCTCAGGCCCCTGATGGGTGAGACCCATCATTTGTATAAAATTTGTTCCCTTTCTGCTAAGGATGCTTCTGACAAAATTTGGTCAAAATCTGCTTAATTGTTCATGAATAGTAGGATTTGCAGAAACAGTTGATAGACTGACAAATGGACACTAGACGCCCCAGTGTGCCAAAAGCTCACTTGGCCCTTCCCAAAAAATGAATTGTACCCTTATTGCAAAAGCAATATTAATCAAGTGTCCTGTGATGGCGTATCTCTATTAACTTACACTTGGGAAGTCCCACAGCAAAACAGAATTCACCATATATTTCTTACAGAGAATTTTACACAGATAAAATACGTCCCAATATTCATCAGGTGTACACAATTCTACTGACGGAACTAGTACTGTACAGGTGTATTAAGGTTGTTAAATCAATCGTAAAAACCATATATATTAATAAGTAATGCTGATTTAATCAACTGTAATGCAAGCTTCACTCAATAAATAATCATATGATCCAGATAACTTACATCTCAATATACTGCTGATTTAAAAGTCTAAATAACCCATTGATCCTATCTTTAAAATACACCTGATCAACCTGATTTAAAAACTTGGTTCAAGAACTGATTGTCATTTCCATATACACATTGCAATTAAACTTGGTTTCTAATTGGTCTATAAATAAAAGATTGAGTTAGTTACATATTGCTTATTCAGCGGAATCTCCGGAAATTACAGAATGTTGATAATGTTTTTGTAAATGTGATATATAATCCATCACATGCAAAACAATCAAACTCTTTTACAAAAGATGACTATCAACAGCCAAATTTGAAAATTTGAATACATTTTCCATCCAATGTACAATTCACAGAAAGAATTTAAAGTTCCAAATCAAGAGATTGTCACTGACATTGGTATTGGATATTGAACCGACAACAAAACTTTACGACAGATTATAAATCGTTCCTTTTGTTGCTACCTGTGTGTAAAGTGTGTAATTTTTCATGAAAAAATATAAGTCCAAAGTAGAAAGTGCGAACATCATACAGCTTTCATTTTTTGCAAGGCTGTCATAATTGATTGCCAGGATAATCTGGTATGCAAAAAGTTTTGGCCAACAAAAATAAATAAAAAGTATTTCTGTATATCTTAATGCAAACTATCCGTGTCAACATCATCTAAAACCAGGGCATGTTTAAAAACGTGATAGCAACTAGCAAGACGAGAAATTACCGATCGGTAAAGAGAGTGGCTTGTCTGGGACATTGAAAAATAATGTTAATTACATATCTTTTGAAATACTTAAATTTTAGACTGTTAAGAAATGACAGCATTCTTTTTATTCTCTGCCACTTTGGATATCACATCGGAGAAGCCATGTACACTTGCCTACTTGTGTATCGACAGAATTTAGCATTGACATTTTAGGATGTGGAGTCTGCAGTCTTAAGACTACATATTAATTATATATATAAAATTTACCTCAAACTATATCTGTGAGTCTTACAATTATAAATTACTTATTTGTCAAAATATGGATAGTCTTTGTGCAATTATGTTATCCACATAAGTATTGAAAGACCACTGATCTTTGACAAATACCTATACACTAGCACACATTCCATGCTCAGTGTATGTATTACTAGCAATACAGAGTTGGGGCCTCAGCTTGTGTCAGCTGGCATGCGCATGATGTGACAGCGGGACATGAAAACTTCACTCACACTTATGTGTTATATGTACAGACATAAAACCTTTATGACTTGAATTCTTTCTTGTTATTAATTTTCTTCCCTATTAGATCAACATATAACAATTACACACGTGTAACATCAGCAATTAAGGAAAATTTATCTCCACAACTCCACCAATATTACAATTATCAACGTAAAACTATGCACAAGGATGTATCATATTCATATTATGAATATATTTTTTGATGTTGCTAATTTCTTTGAGTATTGTAGGCAAGAGTGTCTGAAGACACATCACTATTTGCCATGGTATCTGTATAAAACATATACATGTGTGCCAAACTGTTGTTCTCATTAGAGTAAAATCATCATAACATTTTTCATGCACGAAATTGAGACTTTGTATATCAATGTACTCTTAGTACATATCTTTCGATGTCATTAACTCTATTTAGTATTTCATAATTAAAGACTCTGTCCTCGTGTGGGATATATAGTGTACAGTGCCACCAGCGATCTAGGAAAATCTTAGCGTACAGTACCACCAGCGATCTAGGAAAATTTTAGCGTACAGTGCCACCAGCGATCTAGGAAAATTTTAGCGTACAGTACCACCAGCG